GATGTGGAAGATGGCACGCGCCACGTGCACCCATGAGGGCACTTTTGTTTGAAAAATTGACGTTTCGGACGGATTTTGGATTTTATTTTATTTTCACGTGACCGGCAGACTTAGAGAGTTAAAACAATGCCTATTGGCAAGGGAAATGTACCGCCTCTCATGGAAAAATTGTGAAAAGCTAATTGATCAAAAACAAGGTGGAACAAATCGCTGGAGAAAATGGTATTTGTCCATTATGTGCCACTTAATAATTATACGGGATTTGCTGTTTAACCTGATGCGTTTGACAATTAAAAATGCTATCATTAGAAAGAGAATTCTATTCTCTCGAAGATCCAACCATCACGTTTGCATGATAAGCAACGGTAGGGTAAGGTGCCTAATTAGCGACCCTTTCCGATTTGCGACCTACCTCCCTACAGAAAAGCTGGCAGGAGAAAACGGGGTAAAAACATCGTCAAAAGGTCAGCCATACTTTGGTTATCGCATTAAATTATTTTCCGGTTGTCGATGTTTCTGATGGGACGTTTCAGGTGAGTTTAAATAAAAATGACGAATTTCTTATCCAAAATGTGTGTGTTTGGGCCCTCTCAGATGAAAAGCGATGCACATTAGGATGATGCACCTTTTTTATTCTGAATCGACATTCCTCTTTTAATTGATTGCCGTTTTCCCATAGTGAATCGCTCAACTGTGCACAGCATGGCGATTAAAAATGTGTCGCAACTCATATTTCCTATTTGCGCCTGACATGGTCGCAAATAGCTCAAGAAGGGAAAGAAAGGGGAAAAGAGAGAAATAAAAATGAGGTGTTGCTGAAGCTTGCAATGTGTGGCAGGGGATGCCAAATGTCGTCACCGACTGCAGGGGTACCGAATTCAGCGCGGACCTCGAAAATCATACAAGATAGCCCGCAAAATTAGGGTTTCCGCCTTCTTTTCGCCTTCGGTGCATCACGTGATCAGTTTTTACTTACGTAAATATGTTGAATAAACGTTCCTGTTCGAGCGATTGAGTGCTTTGCGTATAGGGTACCATTTTGAGATCATATTTCATCTTTTCAGGCGTCGCATTTTTTTTGCCATTTTTAATATGGGGAAACCCATAGACCTATTAGCGACCCTCCCCGGTCGCTAATCGGGAAGAGCTCCCTATTAGCGTTTTTTGCAATGGTTTGCCAAAATGCTCACTTCAAATAAGTCAGTGAATATTGGGGCAGAAAATGACTAGATTTTAATAGAAAAATGAACGATCTCTCCGAAAATCAAGCCAGTAACACAGTGGCACCCACAGAGCGTGAGCAATGACTGTTCAAATTAAGTGGGTCGCTAATTAGGCACCTTACCCTATTCTTAAAAATATAAATGTTTCAAACCTCTGCAAATCCATTTTTAGGGAAAATTATCTACGCCTTTCATTTGTCATTAAACTACGCACCTGAATTATAAAACACATTTGACAGGTTCACTGAACTATTGACAGGTTCTGAAGTAGAAAGCATGCTTATCAGACACGGGCACCTCGATCCGATGGATATTTTTTTCCAAACCAAAACGTTTAGCCATCAAAAAGCAATCGACCGAAATGGATAGATAACCCAACCGACACAAGAACAACCAAACACCCGCCGATCGTAAATACCCCCTTTTCGCGTTGCGGAGCACGCGGGCCACCCTAGTAAAATTGTATTTGAGGTGCCTGCCTTTTTAATTATACGTTCGATTTGCTTTAGTTATTGGTAAGAACAGAGGCAACCAGGAAGAGCGCCCCTGAAGAAAAGGTGGCGCACTTGACGGGTGCGATTTTAAGGTCTAAGGTCAGTCGGGGACCTCTAAGTTCGGGTCAAGCGCTCCATGTTAGGGGTAAAGGAATGGGGGCAAAAAAGCATCCCGATTTTGGCAGCATCGTCTTCGTCATGCTGTGTCACGGCACCTATCCCTCGCCCGAAATATAGTTCCCTTTTTGTATCAGTTCTGGCATAATCCCGCACATTATGCTGCATGTTGTTTGTCATGAAAAACAATGCATGTTCAGCTACGTTCTACGCAGTACGCACTAACCTAACCACCATCTCACCATCCATCACTAACCACCATCCCGTTCTGTGCTCCCTTCCACCCCACACGAATCAGCCGAGATACTAGTCAGTCGGGCTAGCGCTATCCTCCCCTCCCTTCCTGACTGCACAGCGCTGAAACCTAGAGCCGAGACTTCCCGACTCCCGAGCGCGACCTCTGACCCCACGCGGTCCGAAGGGTCAGCCGTTGCCTAAGGGCGCGCCGCCCGCCGGCCACCCGGATAGCCTCTGCTGAGTCTCCCTTTCATACACCGTTTACTACGCGCTCGATTCATTCATGATTCTGTGTTTCCGCGTTCCTCTCGTTAGATGGCTCTACTGATGTCATAGGCGATCCCAGGCAGGTTGCGGCCAGAATACCCCAAACGGCAGAAAATGAGGTTTTTGGTGAATATCTCGGAAAGTATTTGGCATACAAGGATGCAATTTTACAGTCTAGTGGTAAATGTGCATATACACAATTCGGGTTCATACTTATGCATTTGAACATAATATAGGACCAGATATATCCAAAAAAGCAAAACCAACAAGACTTTTACTGGAGAACCGTACATGCCTACCCTAACTTGTTATTAAACCTTTCATAGAACCTGCAGCAATATGTTTCGTTTCATTTTTATTCATGAGCGGATTCAAGTATCCAAGTTTTAACATCAATGTTTTGTCTTATTTTATAATCAAGAGAATACAAGTTTCTTTGAAGATACATTGATCCTGATCACGCGTTAAAGAGCTGATATTTATTGAATAACTAATGAGTAGGCAAATTTGACATGGCGCAGCATTCTTGCTTGTATCTAAATTCTAGCTCAATCTTCTATCAGCTTGACGATTTACCAAGCAGGCATTAGCATGTATAGCACGAAACACGTTTGACTATTATATGGATAATCCCGTTTGTTACGAGCTTTATGATAGTCTCGATTCCTTTTTACGGACGCCAGAGGCGTCATCATGGTCCGTGATATATTGAGCGTTGTAGCAGTGTGGCATGACAAGCATGCCCGAGAAAGATGATCGATCTCAGGGGCGGGGCCGTAAGTCCCACATATGAGGAAATTCCACAGAGCCGACTCGGTCTATGTCGGCGGCCGCGGCACGTTGACGACAAATCAGCCGCGGCAGCGGCGTACAATGACGAGATGATTGCCGCCGGCGTTCGGTAATGAGCCGGCGTCGACAAACGAGCCGCAGGAGACAAATGGTGACGCAAGCCGCGGACGACGGTGGTAGGTATCACATGGGAGCGGCTATCCCGGCGGATAGACGAGGCCACAGCTGGTGGACCCGTTAGTGGAGATATATCATACTGCCCGACCGATATAAAACTGGATTTTACTGGAAGGAAAAAGTCGGAAAGCTCCCAACAAACCAGAAGTTTCGAAAAGCAAAGTCAGGAAACTCATTTCGAAAAGCAAGTGATTGCCGGAAAAATCAGTGCTTGCATAATGCTTGTTCCTTTGTACAGGCGATGAATGAAAAAAAGATTAGTTACCGTAATGGAGAGGACGTTATCGATGCTAGGTCACTTTTGTTACCATGCGACCCCATGCCGTCAGAAGCCCAACAACGGTATTAAATGACATTACAAAGTCACAGACCGTCACAAAAAGCGGGGCCAGACCGAAAATGGTAAGGCAACAGCCTGGTCTTACTGTATCACGTCTCGGAAACAGAACCACAGCGATCACTAAGCCAGTAACAACTCTGGACGCTGGGCGCCTATCCCTTGATCCACCGTCTTCAGATCCAGCCACCCCACAACAGTCATCCACATCCCATTCCCTACCGGCGCGGCGGGCCCTTATACTCCGTCCCGTGGATCACCTACCCCGGGCGGTAACTCCAGCGGTAGCCCGAGGGTGGCCGAGCGTGGCCGGTCCCCGTCGGAGCCGTGCTAATGGCCCGTATCACATCAGTAGACAGGCGTGGCGAGACAGAGACGAGCACCGACTCGGCGCCCACCGGACCGTGAAGACGACCCCAGGACACGACGACTCGTGCGCTGTTTATCGTACTAGCCGGGGGCAAGCTATGATGGGAGGCGTTTATATTAAATGAATAAATAGCCGCGTTTACATAGAGTTAGTTGCCAGATAGTGGAATTCCGATACCGAGACATTTATTCCACTAACGAGACATTTCAGGCACATTCCGCTGGTTCTGACGACTTATGCGGCCTTCTGGCCGGATAGGTCGTCAGAACTAGCGGAATGTGCCTGAAATGTCTCGTTATTGGAATAAATGTCTTGGTATCGGAATTCCACTATCTGGCAACTAACCCTATGTAAACGCGGCTAATACCTCGCATTTTCCGCCTTTTTGAATGGTTTATATTTTTTCAGAGACAACGTTGGCCGAAGTGCCAAAATTAAAATAATTAGCGATATTGTGCGCAGCATTGTTCAATCGTTTTTTTTTTTTTTGCAAACGATAAAATTTTATTCGCCAAAGCTGACTGGTGGTAGCCAGGCTCACCAGTCCTTTTTAGTCGGGTGCTGCGTTTCTACCTTTCCGAAGGGTAAAAAAAAAAATAGCAATAAGCTACCACTGTCTCAATAGGCTTCAATCCGCTGTCAATCAGTGTCGCGATCAGCCAGTATTAATACCATAAATATTGCCATTTGAGGTTCTCGAAACTAAAACACTGCAGTCAATTTATCACAATCAAATCGACCAATCAGAGCCGTAATGACGAGTCACATGCTACAGTTCGATGTGACACGTCGTTAAACTTTTAATCACGTTACATACAGCTTACCGTGTAAATCCATTTGTCAATTAGTGCTGGTAGCGCTCAATGGCCAGTGACTTTGAAGTTGGAGAGCATCGGCTTTTACTTTGCGAACCCAGTTCAGAACGTGTTCCAAACTCCCGTGCTGGAGCTAACTATAACCATGCAGTCCGGTCTGTGCCCACTGACCTGGGTGTGATGATCCCCTGGCTGATGGCGTTGAAGGAGAGCACGATGGGCAGACAGATGACGCTCAGTCCGAACGTGGGCTCTCTGTTAGCCCGATACTCCTGCTCCACGGCAGTGTCCGTGAAACTGAGACTCAGCCACCGCACGTGAGGGCGGAGGTGTCTGAAAGAGGTCGGCGTCGGGTTACTAAACAGATGATGATGATGATTTGGGGTTTTAGGGCGCACCAGCAACGAGGCTATATGGCGCCCATATCTAGCCATTCTTCCTCAAAGTCGGGGGTTAAAAATCACCTGAAGCCCGGAGGCCGTGATGAACGAAAAGAGGCGAAAGGAATCGAGAAAAGGAGAGTCGTCGCGGAGAAGTGTTCTCAAAGAGAGCTGGGGGCCACGCAATCCAAAAAACCGCAATCGCTCAGCGTCCAGTCTCGGGCACTCGACCAAGACGTGTCGGACCGAAAGTCGGTCACCACATCTGGTACAAATAGGCCTGGAGCCAACGCCGATAAGGAACCCATGGGTGCCATAAGTGTGCCCGGTACGAAGCCGGCAGAGGACCACCTCCTCGCGTCGCGATCTGCGTGAGGCCGACAACCAGGTAGCTAAACCTGGCTTGATACGTAAAAGTTTGTTACCGTGGGATTGGCTCCAGGCCTCCTGCCACTTTCCGAGGAGGAAAGAGCCCACCGCCGGTACAAAGTCCCTGGCGGGTAGAGGGAATCGGCGGGAGCACGGATACTGCGCAGCATGGTTCGCAGCTCGGTCCGCCCGTTCGTTGCCGTGAATACCGACGTGGCTAGGGATCCAGCAAAAAGACACCGACGTACCCTCTCGGTCGAGGGCTGTCACACGAAGAAGAATCTCCTGTGCGAGGGGGTCAGAAGGATAGAATTGTGACAAGGACTGGAGACCACTCAATGAGTCAGAAAGAATAACATATGACCGAGCGGGATTAATCTCGATAAAACACAGGAGTTTGAGGATAGCGACCAATTCGCAGAAAAAAAACGGATGCATGTTTAGGTAAGGTAAAACACCGCACAGCGTCGCCGCAGACGAAAGCACACCCGGCACCGTCATCAGTCTTTGAGCCGTCAGTATAACAGGCTATGTAGTCAGAGTACCTTGAAATATGTTCCAGCGCACGAGCCTTTAAAACAGCTGGAGGGATGTCGCCTTTTCTCACATCGGTGAGGGGAAAGGTCCACCTTTGGCGGGACTTGTCTCCACGGTGGGACAGATGGCCACTCCTTACGCATGACCCCCCGAAGTTTAATTTGAGCTTCCGAGAGCAGCGATTGCATACGAGAGCAGAAAGGGGGGGTAGCGGACAGTACGTGCACCTTCTCCGGTTCTGAAAAGCGCCAGGTTGGCACGTGAGAAAACTGCATCATAGGCAGGGTGGGAAGGCAACTGGCGGAGTTTTATGGTATATCTCATGCCCAGTAGCTGGCGACGCAAGGCAAGAGGTGGCTCGTGGGCCTCTACAAGGAGGCTGGCTACTGGGGTGGTCCGGAACGCACCAGTGGCAATACGAAGAGCAGTATGGTGCACAGAGTCCAGAATACGTTTCGAGGTCTCCGTGGCGTTATCGTATATAAAACAGCCGTAGTCAAGTCTAGAACGGACAAGAGCACGATAAAGCAAGAGCAGTGTCTTACGATCCGCCCCATAGCAGGTACGCGCAACACATTTCAAAACATTCATAGCTCGAAAACATCGGTCGCGGAGCTCTTTCAGGTGAGTGCGGTAGGTAAGACGGCTGTCTATTACCATCCCAAGAAACTTCACCTCCGACTTCACAGGGATCACTGCACCCCTTAGCCTGACAGAGAAGTCAGGGCAATTACGGCAAAAACGGCAAAAGTGGACACCTACAGTTTTGGCTGTCGAGAATCGTAGTCCGTTAACAGCACTCCAGTTTTCTAATATTTTAATTGCCAACTGGAGCTGTCTCTCTACTATACGTGTGGTTGCACCACTGGCCCAGATAGAGAAGTCATCCACAAAAAGGGCACGGCCGATGGAAGGGGGCAGGTGATCGGCAATATCGTTAATCATTACCCCGAACAGCACAACACTTAGGACTCCTCCTTGGGGGACACCGTTGACCTGGGGGAACTGCTCTGAGAGGTTGCCACCGACACGGACTCTGAAAGACCGGTTAGATAAAAAGCTGGCGAGGAAATGGCCCATTGTACCGCGTATACCGTACTTGAAAAGCTTTTGTAAAATACCGAAACGCCAAGTGGTATCATACGCAGCCTCAATGTCGAAAAACAATGCACCAATGTGTCGCTTCCGCCTAAATGCGCAACGAACCTCGGTATCAAGGGCTAAAATGTGGTCTACTGTGCTCCGATACTTTCTGAAACCGCACTGCGAGTTAGATAAAACACCTTGTTCCTCCAGAAACCAGACGAGACGCGCGTTTACAACTCGCTCAAGCAGCTTGCCCAGGGCAGATGTCAACGCAATAGGGCGGTAGTGAAGCGGATCAAGCCCGCTTTTACCAGCCTTCAGCACCGGGATAATGATGGCCGTCCGCCATGTTTCGGGATACAGCCCTCTTTCCCAGAGCGCATTGAAAAGATGGAGCAATGCTTCAAGTCCCGGTGACGGGAGACGCCGAAGCATCTCATTGTGTACAAGATCAGGGCCTTCTGCGACACACTTCAGGCCACCTATAGCGGACTTTAACTCTTCCATAGTAAAGGGATCATTGTAGCTAAAATGTTGTGATGTGTTAAAATTGACGCCAGTCGATTCGCACCGAGCACGATGGCGGGCGAAGTCGGGGTCAGAACAGTCACCGACACAGCGGTCATGTAACGCACGGCCTATTTCGTACGCTACATCAGCTGGGTTCGACACATTTCTGCCAAACACACTCAAAACAGGAAGAGGGGATGAGGAGAAACGACCTGATATACGTTTTATACGGGACCAAACCTCGGAGATTGGCGTGAATCTGTTAAGCTGGCTGATGTATTCCACCCAGGATTCGTGTTTAGCTTTCTTGACCGTCCACCTAGCGAACGCTCTGGCTTTTCTAAACGCGATCATGTTTGCGGTGGTGCAGTTATGCCTGAAAGCGCGCAGCGCTCGTTTCCGCGCTCTGATGGCGTCTCGACACGCATCGGACCACCATGGGACCGGCCGGCGAGAAGGCGCCCCCGATGTACGAGGAATGGATGCCTTGGCTGCTTCAATGAGTAAGGAGGTGAAATCGGTTACTGACAGATCATCTGTAGGGTCAGATGAGAGAGCATCCTCCAAGCACGTTTGAAATTTCTCCCAGTCTGCCCTCCGCAGGTTCCATCTCGGTGGCCGGCAGCCAACCGAGGGCCGCTCACGCAGTTCAAGCCATATGGGGAAATGGTCACTACCAAAAGAGTCCGCGTCCACTCGCCACGTAAAAAGCGGCACAAGGTGTGGACTGACAAGGCTGAGATCTAGAACTGATGAATGTCCCGACGGCATGGTGAAATGGGTAGCAGCACCAGTGTTTAAAACACAAAGGCCCTCCTCGTCTATCAAGGACGCTAAAAGTCGACCGCGTGTACACACAGAATCACATCCCCATGCAGAGTGGTGAGAGTTAAAATCACCCAGAAGCATCACAGGTGGAGGGAGCTCGGCAATTAGCCGGCGTAGTTCCAGAAGAGGAAGAGCTGCGCCAGGGGGACAGTAAAGTGAGCACACAGTGATGTCACGCTGGCCTAGATGAATGCGGACCGCTACCGCCTGAAGGGGCGAGCTTAAATCAATACATCTCGCAGGCACGGCGTTATGGACCAGAACCATAACACCTCCGTGCGCGACGGTTTCAGTAGCAAGGTCCCTGCGAAAAACCGAAAATCCTTTCATGGGGAACCTGGACTCAGATCTGAGTTTGGTTTCTTGGATGCAAGCAACCAAAGGTCGCTGAGAGCGGATTAGTGCTTGCAGTTCTGGAGTGCTAGAACGCAAGCCTCTGCAGTTCCACTGCAGGATAAAACGTGTTATTGCTGTAGTTTTGAGCGCTTGGGGTAAGCGAAAGGTGTCTAAAACTGGCGACTTTGACTTGAGTTAAAAAAAGGCGGGGACTTAAAAATGCTCCTCGCCACCGGGGCCCGGGCCACCGCCAAAGGCTACCTTTGGATGGCCCTCGCGGAGCCGTCCATCGGCCGACCTAGGCCGGCCCGTAGCTCCCGGTTGAAACTTCATCTCGGGTTATCGTCCTTTGAATGCCAGTGGCTAACCTCTGTCCCACTTCTAGACATGTTGACTCTCTCTCGTCTCTCTCTCTCTCTCTCTCTCTCTCTCTCTCTCTCTCTCTCTCTCTCTCTCTCTCTCTCTCTCTCTCTCTCTCTCTCTCTCTCTCTCTCTCTCTCTCCTCTCCTCTCTCTCTCTCCTCTCCTCTCTCTCTCCTCTCTCTCTCTCTCTCTCTCTCGCTCTCTCCTCTCTCTCTCTCTCTTCCTCTCCCTCTCCCTCAGTGACCATCCATCTCGCCGCGGGACCGATCCTGTCAGCGCCCGTTGCCTCTGGCTCTGGTGTCGTTGAGCGCTCCCCAGGAACGCCACTCGCCGGAAGAACGACCGGCTCCCACGGCCTCTGTGCCTCCAAAGGGTCGCTGTTTGTAGGCAGCCATCCAAGGAAACGCGGCGATGGGAGACGCGAGTTCTCAGTGAACCTTGACTGCCGCAGTCAGGTGCAGGTAATTAATTCCAGTTTGTATCCAGGCGTTCGAATAGGTGGCTGGTAACCATCAATGGTGCGTGTTGAACGTGAATCAAGTGATTGCGCGAGGGAAGTCCCAATATCAAAGCGTTGAAAGGTAGCTAGGGAGATGCAGGACTTCCTCGAGTGTAAAGCCGGCATATCAAGCATATCCCTTGCGGCAGCTGCAGTTCAGTTGACCCCTTGTCGTGTCAAGGCCCGCAGAAATAATACAAAACCTGTTCTAGGAGACGATCGACTGATGCTTCACGATCTGGACTTTTGAGTGGAGACTTCCATTTCGCGTCTAGCTAGACGCGTCTAAGTCTTGATTCCAGGACAAAAAGTCAAAAGACAAAATGTCAAAAGACAAAAAGTCAAATGCAAAAAGTCAAAATGGATAAAAGTGAAATGGAAAAAAGTCAAATGGATAAAAGTCAAAACGGCTAAAAGTCAAAAGACAAAAAGTCAAATGGCAAAAAGTCAAAACGTCCAAAAGTCAAAAATGCAAAAAATCAAATGGCAAAAAGTCAAAATGGCGAAAAGTCAAAAACACAAAAAGTCAAAAGCAAAAAGTCAAATGGCGAAAAGTCAAAATGGCAAAAAAGTCAAAAACGCAAAAAGTCAAAAGCAAAAAGTCAAATGGCAAAAAGTCAAAATGGCGAAAAGTCAAAAACGAAAAAAGTCAAAAGCAAAAAAAGTCAAATGGCAAAAAGTCAAAATGACGAAAAGTCAAAAACGCAAAAAGTCAAAAGCAAAAAGTCAAATGGCAAAAAGTCAAAAAACGCGAAAAGTCAAAAGACAAAAAGTGAAAAAACGGCAAAAAAGTCAAAATGATAAAAATCAAATGGAAAAAGTGAAATAAGAAAAAGTCAAAAGTAAAAAGTCACATAGGTATCTAAAAAACCATAAGACACCGCTCGCTCGTAATTAACCCTATGGCGTTGCATGGAAAGAAATGAGTTCAAACTGCCTCGAGCCCGGCTCCAACATTGAAAAGTTCCAGCGCCAGTGCTCCCACATGTAATAATAACCTGTGAATCATTTT